GGCAAAAAAAAAAAAAAACAAGAACAGACATTTCATTGAAGAAGATATACAGATGGCAAACACACACAAGAAAAACACGGTCAACCTCTCTAGCCATTAGGGAAATGCAGATTAAAACCACAATGAGCTATCAATACACATCTATCAGAATGTAAACACATCTAAAAGAAAAATAGTGACAACATCAAATGCTGGTGACAATGAGAAGCTAGATGGTTCACACATTGCTGGTGGGAATACAAAATGGCACAGCCACTCTAGAAAACAGTTTGGAAGTTTCTTTAAGAAACTAAATATGCAGGGGATGCCTGGGTGGCTCAGCTGGTTAAGTGTCCGACTTCAGCTCGTGTCATCATCTCAGAGTCCAGGGATAAAACCCAACAGGCTCCCCCCACCACCCCGTTCCATGGGGAGTCTGCTTCTCCCTTTCTCTCTCCCTCTGCCCCTCCCCCTGCTCATACATGCACTCTCTTTCTCTCTCTCTCAAATGAATAAATAAATAAAATCTTAAAAAAAAAAAACACTAAAACTAAATATGCAGGGCACCTGGCTGGCTCATTTTAAAAATAAAACAACAAAAAACAAACCACAAACATACTGATATATGCAACAACATGGATAAATCTCCAGCTAATTAATCAGGCTGAGTGAAAAAAAAGTTAATTCCCAAAGCTTACACACTGTATGATTCTATTTGTATATATTTCTTGAAATGAAAAAATTATAGAAATGGTGACTGAATTTAGTGATTGCCAGGGATTCAGGACTAAGAAGGGGAAGCAGTGGAAGGCAAGCAGGTGTGGTCATAAAAGGGCTCTAAGGGGACTCTTTGAGGTGATGGAACTGTGTATCTTGGCTGTGGTGGTGGTCATGTGAGTCTACACATGTGATAAAATTGCACAGAACTAAATACGTATGTATAAAGGAGTACTTGTAAAGTTGGTGACATCTGAACATGTTTGAAGAATTGTATCAATGCCAATTGCCTGGTTGTAATATTGTACTATGGTTTTGGAGGAAGCAACTATTGGGAGAAAATGGGTAGAAGCGGGAGAAAATGGGTAGAAGCTATCCAGGGTATTCATTCCCTCTTCAAAGGCGAGTGAATCTACAATTATCTCAAAATAAAAGGCTTAAATGCTTTCTACTCACACTTGGAGTTAGTTTACTGAAAGAGATTTTTTTTAAATTGGACATTTAAAGATCTATACATTATTTTTATTAAAACTAAAGTAAATAAAATCAAGGTGGTGGACAAATGGCCACGTATCATATCACTCCTATGCTTCTAGACATGCCCCTTCACAATGTGATTTTGTCATTCTTCCCATAAATGGAGTCTGTTTCTCAGACCCTCAAATTCAGGGTTGGCCAAGTGACCTGCTTTGGTCAATGGGATATTACTCAGAACAGTGCAAACAAAGGCTTGAAAAGTACTTACACATCAATCCTTGCTCTTCCTTGCCATTAGGAACTCTACTACAGTCATGTGAGGAAGCCCAAGCTAGTTTGTGAGATGATGAGTGATATATAACCCAGTTACCTCCATCTCCCCTGACAAGAGTCAGCACCCACAACCAGACATGTGAGACAAGCCACTCTAGAGGGAACCACCCTCAGCTAAGCTGCCAAAACTAACCAGAAAACCCATAAATTCAGGAGCAGTTATAACTTAGTTGTTGTCTTACTAAGTTTTGGGGGTAGCATGTTATGCATCAAAAACTGATACATTTCAAAACTTATTGCACTTACACTTTTTTGGTGGCATATATATGGCTAAAGAATATTCAAGAGCCAAGACTCTGTTAACTGGGTAGTGGTAAAAACATGATTAAATTTAAAGTCAAAGCTAAAATAAAAATGTTTTATCAATCCAATATATAATAACTACTGCAAAATCTAAGTGGGAATAATGCCACTTAACTGCTCTTATAAATCTCTATGCCGGCAAAGCAAAACAGAAGGGACAAACCAGTTCTTAAAAAAAAAAAACAAAAAAAAAACTGGAAAAAAGCTACCTCAAATTGGAAAATAATTTACATGTTTTATGTGTTAAAACAACAAACTGTAATTTTTTATATAAATGAAAAACATAACACTGGAAAGTAAAGTTGTCAACACAGGACACGTCATTTTGTCATTTTCAGTATTACGTTCAGACACTGGCATGGCTCACCCCTAAAAATAAAACACCTTTCCCCAAAAGCATCAAAGTAAATCTTCATGAAGCTAACTATTAGAGAGAGCATGACATTTTATTAATCTTAAAATTTAAAAATAAGAAATACAGAAGAATATTATTGAACTGTTAAGGTTCCAAATTCTAACGCTAGTCTCTTAAAGTATTCTGAAGTTCCTAAGTGTATACTGAGGAGAGTGATCAAAGTGAGAAAGTTTCCACAGTTCCTTTCCTGTTTTTCATTCAGATAACAATTGCCTCAAGGAGCTGGAAATGAGATACCTCCCTTTCCCACCCCGAAGCATCAATAATATGTACAGTGTATATGGAAACTTGTCACATTTATCTCCCTAACCTGACCAAAAGACATTGTTTTTTTTCCCTTTTGTAAAAATTAAACTTTCTCAAAACCCAGGTCAAATTTAAGATAAATTTCTTTGGAGTTTGGACATTCAAGATTTTGATGAACTGTTTTATTGTTGACGACAATGTACACTAACCCTTACTTTTTGGTTACCCTATTTGGTGGTTCCTAGAAAATACATATCTTCACTAATAGTTTAAGATTTAAGATCCTTGCAGCATAGTAAAACCCTCTCATAATATTGTTGTTGTAGGAACAGGGATGATGACGGTTGATGATGCTTTACTTGTATAACCTCACTTGTTTTTCAGAAGAATCCCATAAAATAAATCCTATATTCATCCCCATCATTTCATAGACAGGGGAAGTGAGGCTTAGTGAGATTAAGCATACAACTCATTCAAAACCTGAACCCCTAGCCACTGTTTCTCCTAAATAAAGTCACATGTTGGGGCACCTGGGTAGTTCAGTCGGTTAAGCATCTGCCTTCAGCTCAGGTCATAATCCCGGAGTTCCGGGATCAAGCCCAGCATCGGGCTCCCTGCTCAGCAGGGAGTCTGCTTCTCCCTCTGCCCCTCACCCAACTCATCATGCTCTCTCTCTCAAATAAATAATCTTAAAAAAAAAAAAACAACAAAGTCACATGTTATTCTACCTCAATATTGGGTTTTAGAACCATGTTTTTAATTATGAGGACTTAGAACACTCAAGTTTCATCAAATAAGGAAATCTTCCCTTAATATTCTGTATTACACTGTATTCTGTTAACTTTTTCTCCTTTTAAAATTCTGTCTTCATATAAAGGGAAATGAAACAGCATTTATTTACATGTATTATATGCCAAGAACTGTGCTGAGCAACTCAAATAACTTTGTCTTAGTTCTTACATTCTTCCAATGAGGTATCTTTAATTTTATAGATGAGGAAACTCATCTGGTTTTTTAACTTCTAGAGGTTAGTTTCCTCAAAGGCAAATGGCTAATCACCAAGAGAACTGGATCTGTACTCTGGTTTGCACAACTGAAAAATCCTTGGGCTTTTTTTCCACCTTTCTCTGATACCTACTAGAGTATGGAAAGCATAATACTTTGAGAAATATACATGTTATGTAACAGATAAAACAACACAGCATCCTTTATTACTGCATATACTGTACAAAAACACAAAATATTCAGATTTTATTAAAGGAATTATCAGTCTCCAAAGTTTTCCTATACAAAGTAATACTATATGAAGATATAAGACAAAATATTTCTGATATTTAAGCTTCCATTCCACCTATTAATCCAAACAAATGAAAGATTATAAAAAAATAAAATGTTACAGTGACATCATAATACTACAAAGGTTAAAATGTGGACTACATTTTCCTAAGACTTACTGAGGTGTTTACAATTCCTAGCTAACTGTACCATAAAAGTAAATGAATCTAATTGAAAATACACCTAAAATGTTTAGCTAATGATAACATTTAAAAAAAGCATAAAAATAAATAGCATAGTAATACTGTTTTCCTTTTGAGTGAGGAAGAAGTAACATCTCCAGAATAATCTTCAGGAAAGTAGATAATAGCATCTAATAGTTCGAAGAACCTAGGTATGCAGCTGGAGGTCCAAAAAATTTTGAAGGGCTTCTAACATTTTTGCTTTGAATAGCTTTCAACTCCAAGAACCTTTCATCTCATTAATGCAATAGTTTTATGAGTAAAAGATAACCAGCATAAAACTTTCAGAGTTGTAATGTTCTCCAAAACTGAAATATAATCTCATACCCAGGATTTAATATATAAGAAGATTTTCCAGCTAATCTGCTTAGCAATTAGTAAACTCTCATTTGCAGTCAACACTTTCATGTCACATAGAAATTCATGATGCATTTCTGCCATATAACTTTACTTCCTTTTAAAATTTTTATTATTTTTAAGTAGACTCCATGCCCAGCACAGAGCCCAACACGGGCCTGAACTCATGACCATGAGGTCAAGACCTGAGCTGAGATCGAGTTGGACACTTAGGGTTGCCTACGTGGCTCAGTTGGTTAAGTGTCTGCCTTTGGCTCAGGTCATGATCTCAGGGTCCTGGAATCGAGCCCCATGGCAGGCTCCCTGTTCAGCAGGGAATCTGCTTCTCCCTCTCCCTCTGCCCCTCCCCTCACACTCATGTTCTCGCTTAAATAAATAACTAAAATCTTAAAAAAAAAAAAAAAAAAAGAGTTGGACACTTAACCAACAGAGCCCCCCAGGCGCCCCTAATTTTACTTCACTTTCCTTATCAAAAACCCAGAATTAAATGAAATCCTAACTTTAAAAAAAAAAAAAACACCGTCAAATTTCTCTTCAGACACCACCAAGATATTTATACCAAGTTTTGAAATTCATGTAAATATCTAGACTCTATGAACACCCACCAGATTTGATCTCCACACTGACTTTTATAAACCTCTGAAATTAAGACTTACCTGCTTCATTGTTAATTGGAAACTCCCACAGTTTGCCCTCGCTCGTCCACTGGATCATCTCTGCAAAGCCATTCTGAAGGGACTGCTCATTTACTGTGGCTAACTGCTTAGCAAATTCCACTTCCCAAAGCGAAGGTGCTGTCTCTATGATAAAAACATTTCAAGTAATCACAAGTCAACGTATGTATCTTTATTTTTAAAAATTTTATCAACTCCAAATTGTTAATACATTTCCGGCCCTGAGGCTTATAAATAAACAGTATATAATGAAAGGTCACTGTCTGGGAGCTAAAACTAAAGGAAGGCGACATAAAAAGCCCACCACAATTACTGCCCGCCTTGGCTTTTGTTTTACTACACAGCTAGGCAAGCAACAAGTCTCACTGCCCCCTCTACTGGAAAGCAAAAAGGAATGTGTGTTTTGTTTAAAAACGTTTTCATGAATGTGAATATTTATTTTATTGTTTTCTTTAAGATTTTATTTATTTGAGAGAGAACACAAGAGAGAGCATGAGGGGGGAGGGGGGAGAGAGAGAGAGAACGAGCATGCACGCAAGTGGGGGGAGGGGCAGAGGGAGAAGCAGACTCCCCACTGAGCAGGGAGCCCATTGTGGGGCTCGATCCCAGGACTCCAAGACCACAACCCGAGCGGAAGGCAGACGTTCAACCGACTAAGCCACCCAGGTACCCCGTGAATATTTTTTTTAAAGATTTATTTATTTGAGAGAGAGAGAGAGAGAAGAGAGCGCACACAAGCAAACAAAGGGGGGAGGGAGAGAATCTTAAGCAGACTCCCCCCCCACCCCCAGCACAGAGCCCGCCAACACAGGGCTGGATCTCATGACCCTGAGAACATGACCTGAGCCAAAATCAAGAGTCAGACACTTAACCAACTGAGCCACCAAGGTGCCCCATGAAAGTGAATATTTTTTATATAACATGTGACTTTGATATTTAAAGTCCAGCCTATTTATCTTTATTTTTAGTTTGTCAAGATAAGTCACAAAGTACTACTATTAAAGACCAGAGAAATTAACATAATAATAATGACAATTCTACTAACGGATATGGAGCACTTACTCTGTGCTAATGCTTTTTATGCATTAGTTCATTTCATCCTCACAACCAACTCTTATGAGTAAGTTCATTTTATAATGTTAGCTTATAATCACCATCATATCGCATTTCAATCATTTATTTGCTTTGGAAATTGAAGACATCTTTCAAGAATGAATCATATTTCGGGGCGCCTGGGTGGCTCAGTCATTAAGCATCTGCCTTCGGCTCAGGTCATGATCCCAGGTTCCTGGGATCGAGCCCCGCATCGGGCTCCCTGCTCAGCGGGAAGCCTGCTTCTCCCTCTCCCACTCCCCCTGCTTGTGTTCCCTCTCTCGCTGTGTCTCTCTCTGTCAAATAAATAAATAAAATCTTTAAAAAAAAAAAAAGAATAAATCATATTTCCACCAGTCACTGCTGGTGGGAATGTAAAATGGTACAACCTCTTTCAAAAATAGTTTGGCAGTATACAACAATTTGACTCCTAGATATTTACCCAAAACAAAAAATACGTGCACACACAGACTTGTATGTTAAAGTTCATATACGACCCTGCCTGACCACACACGGACTGACTGCTGTATATTAAGTATATTGGCCTAAAACATCTGATACAGAGAAAAGATCACATCAGTTATGCTTAATTAGCCATATTTACAGAATAATCATGACAGCAAAATAACTTAATTATTAGTCACATTTTATAGATTTATTCAGTAGACATTGATCAACCCATGTCTTTTCTGTGATCATGATCATCACCACCACCATTATTATTATTGCTAACAGCTGCAACTATGTCCTGACTGTCCATTGTGGTCTTGGTGCTGTGCCTGACACTTGAATTACATTACTTCATTTAATCCTTGAGAGGCATGTTTTAGCCCCATTTTATAGATGGAGAAAGGGAAACTCAGAGAAGTTAGCATGGCAGAATCTGAATTTGAATAATCCACATCTGTCAAATACCAAAATTCCTTCCATTAAGCTATATTGCCCCTCAGTTCTAAATTACTGCAGGATAAGCAGAAGGGTCCTTTGCAGCAGTGGTAGGAACCTGGAGGGAGGCAAAATGTGGGAATCATGGGACAGAAGAACCCATCATTCTGTCAACAAATAATTACTGAGCGCCAACTACATGTCAGGCATTATTTTAGGTGGTAGGGAAACAGCAATGGATAAATGCTTAAGTTTGTATATGGTTGGTATTGTATTTAATAGGGAACAAAAGACATTCTTTAGACTCAATCAAGTATAATTTATTAAAACAGTACCTTCATTAAATTTTTTTAAAAGATTTTACTTATTTATTCGAGAGAGAGAGAGAGAGAGAGCAGGGGGAGGAACAGAGGGAGAGTGACAAGAAGACTCCCTGCAACTTGGGATGCATCAGACTCCATCCCACAACCTTGAGATCACGACCTGAGCTGAGACCAAGAGTGGGATGCTTAAACCAACTGAGCCACCCAGATGCTGGGTAAATTTTTATAAATCTGTGTATTATTTCCCTTATTAGAGTATAATCACTTTATATTTTTTATAAAACTTCAGTGCTTCATTGCCAGCTAATTCCAGTTTTAAGGAAGAGGGTTTCTGATTTAAAAGAGCAAGCTGGCTCCTTCAAGAATCCAAGTGCCTCCGCTGGCTGTTCAGTAGGTGGACAATGGCAGCTGCCCTGACAATAAATGCCCTTTTTGAGGCAAGTTTAACAGCTGCCACATCAACAGGGGAGAGGTGACCCATTCCCCATGACTGCACGTTTTAGTTTGCTTTTTTTCATCTGTGTGTGCGCGCGCACACACATTTTGTAATTCCTTTTTTTTTTTTTTTTAAGGTAATCTTGACAACCAACGTGGGGCTTGAACCCAATGACCCCGAGATCCAAAGTTACATGCTCTGAGGACTGAGCCAGCCAGGTGCCCCTTGTATTTCCTGTCCATTATGTAGGACAGAGAGCAGTTTTTAAGTAAGAGAAAGCAAGCTGTTCTCTTAGCTTCCCCTTTAGTTTAAATGAACAAACACTGATTGAATTAACTCCTTTCCTCTATGGACAGATATTTCATAGTTCAATTTGTTCAAAAAAAGCATTTATGATTTAAGATAACTAATTCCTATGATCTGTCAGCCACTGGCTAGGTGCTGCTGGGTATACAAAAATCAGGGAAACCCAGGCCCTAGTATCTAGGAGTTTACTGAATAGTGTGGGAAAATCAGATATTTATATAAGTAACTGATAGATTAAATGAGCCACTGGAGGCTGGCTTCGGAACTTAAATATCAATTATAAATTTATTTTTATCAAGTCTAAAAAGCTAACTTACAATCTTTGGAAATTAAAGTCACTTGTAAGCTGAAGACCATTCGTATTGAGTTTCCTTGTTTAAGTTATCAGTAAACGATACTTAATGTCAAGCAAGAGGACACGCTCGCTCGTATCTCTTTTAATTAGATTTAAAATGGTGAATATGAAAGATCTGACCTCTTACCCAAAGATGAAAGGGGTAAGTACAGGGAACAAGGATGGTGTGTTAAAAAAAAAATTAAAAAAACCCTACAAGTCTGCTAAATGTATTTCCTGAATGCTCTTCTTCCTAGCTCCTAAACAAATACAAAATCACTTCATTAAGTTACTTCTACAAATGCTATCTCCTCTCCTAGATAGCAAGCTGCCTTAGGGCAGAATCTTTTGTAATAGCACAGTTTCAAATGGAGTGTGATGTTAATGTTCTAACCCAAATCAGTAGCCAACTGATAGCTCTGGATTCAGGAAGATGGTAGTATTTACCTCCCACTGTCTCCCAGAATGAAACATTTCAAGGGAGGAATCTGACCAAGACTAGCAATGGTAACAACTACACTCATAAGCAGGATCCAAGTCAGTGACAGGATGGATTATTAAAACACCTGACATTGTGCAATCAAAACATTAAGGACTTTTTTTGAAAGAAGGAGTGTTTCTACATCTCAGAAATAGTGTTTGTAACAAACCTGTTTCAGGTGCCTCTTCAGTAACTGCCTTAAGGTCAAAAATATTAAGTCTTTTCCCTTTGAGCATATTTTTCCTAAGACTGAAAAAGAAAAAACAATTTAATTTAATATTTTTATACATGAACAAAAAATTATTTGAGAAAACAACTTTATATTAAATATTCAATGTAGAAATTAAAAATAATTCCACTGACCCACACCAGACATTTTAACTAAATTGCCACATTGTTAGAACTGATAACTAAAACTGGAACAAATGCACTTGTATTTTTGCATCATGATACAATAAAGCAGTTTAAGTAGTTTAATTTCCAAAATATTTAATTGAAAAGATTAGTTTAATTTGCCATAATTTTATGTGATCCATTTCATATTAAGGTTTTAGAAACCTCAACATTAGAAAGCTATTAAAATATGCTAAATTAAAAGTTGTTAAAGTCAACAGCTGTCTTAGTTCAAGGGCAGAAAACACTGCATGTTTAATTACAAATTATAATTATAAAAGATGGCACAGATAAATCAAAACATTCCCACTTAAAAAGCAATCATTCTGTAATTTTAACATAATGATTAACTTTCTTTACATAACATTTTAAATTAACCATTGAAATTAGTCAGATAGTTAATAGGTAACTTTTCCTTGTATATTTAAATCAACTGTTTTATGCATCAATTCACATTCATACTTGAATAAATTTACTGGCAGATTAAAAACCAGTTCAAAACTGGAGAGTGAGTTTTAAAATAATTTTGAATTCTTGGGGAGTCTGGGCGCCTCAGCTGATTAAGGGTCTGCCTTTGGCTCAGGTTATGATCCTGGGGTCCTGGGATCAAGCCCCACATCGGGCTCCCTGCTCAGTGAGGAGCCTGTTTCTCTCTCTCTCTCAAATAAATAAATAAAATCTTTAAAAAAAATTCTTTTCTGAATCAAATTACTTTTTTCCTATGAAATTACATTAACTGAAAAAATTCAAATACCATATTAAAATTAGATAAAGTAATCTCAAATCACTTAAGTTTTCCTTTAGCAGGTCCCTAAGTATTCTTAAACAAAGGTATTTATGCTCCCCAACTATTCTCAGTGCTTTTGCATCCTTCTCCCCATCTGCAGTCCCTAACTGTGCATCAGGTTAACAGGATGATGGATTAAGGTAACTCACAGTAAAGAGGGAATGATTTGGTAAAGTATGGAATTTTAGAAGGTACTAAAGAGGAAGGGAAAGGAACAGACATTTGCTGTGCATCTACTATATACAGTTGGCACATTCTTTTCCTATTTCTCAAGAAAGCCATTTAAGTTAGGCTTCAATTTCAGCATTTTATAGATGAGGAAATAGACCAACGAGGCTGTAAAAGTTGCCCCAGTCCCAGAATTAGTCAGTGGCATAATGCCAAGATTCTGAGGCAGGCCAGAATGACTCCCAAGCCATGACTCCTCTCTGTCTCTTACTGATGGAATCAGCCCAGGGTATACCTGTGGTGATCAGTCTAGGCCTGGATTGTCTCAGGCTGTCCCATGACAGAGCAGGGTGAACAACTTGGTATCTCACCACTGCTTCCCCTTACTCTAGAGTCCTTCAGTCAGCTTTTTCACACAATCATCATATGCACAGAAACGACTGTCCTACTTTTTTTAGCTTCTCCCTTGCCACTTTCTAATTTCTAAGAGTTTGTTTTGTTTTGGTTTTTTGTGAGTGAAGCAATAGAAGTTTATTAAGTGAAGATAGAGAAAAAGGTCTCAAGAGTGAGAGGGGTCCCAACAGGGTTGCCCTAACAATTTTTTTTGACACGTGTGCGGGGGTGGGGCGGTGGCTGCAGGAGAAGGAGCAGAGGGAGAGAGAGAGAGAGAATCCTAAGCAGGCTCCATCTCCCAACCCTGAGATCATGACCTGAGCCGAAATCAAAAGTCAGACACTTAACCAAATGAGCCACCCAGGCGCCCCGCCACCTTCTAATTTTCAAGGACAGCTAATATCATTAAGAATCAAACTATGATATAGCATTCTGCTGTAGTCAAATGGAATCATTTCAAAGAAGATTGATTCAAATAAGACTAAAATTAAATATTCTTTTTTTTAAAGTAAGCTCTACGCCCAACACGGGGCTTGAACTCACAACCCCCAGATCGAGTTGCATGTTCTACTGACTGACCCAGCCAGGCGCCCCTGAAATTAAATATTCTTGAGGAATCTTAAGTAAAACTCCAAGTACACATTCTATTTTATTCAATAGTATGTCATAGGTACAAAATCACTTTAAATTAGTAATTCAAAGAATCTCCCTAAGTCACTGTAACTTCTTGAACTTCCTTTGTTAACTGTTGACTATCTTTTACAATTTTCCTGTACAAATTAGTAGTTTAACTTCTGAAAGGAGCTAACTCAAGTTGCTGGGATTCTACTTAAAAGAAAATCCAAAGAATACATAACACATCAAAAATACTCCAACTCTAAGCACCCCCCTTCTATGAAGATCGTTAGTTTTTGTTAGAGCATACTAAATATCTGGTTCCCCCTCCCCAACTATCACTTCATGGGCTTGAAGGAGAGAAAACAGAAACTTTCTGTAAACTTTCTGTAAATATAGATAGCTTTTTGTTATAAAATAACTACATAAGGCATGGCTTAACATCTTTAAGTCTGCAAATTACCAAATTCAAACTGCCACAAATAATCTACCACCTTAAGGTATTGTAATGGATCTTCCTTTCTTTCTTTTTTTGATGGTGGATTATTTCTCTAAGGTATGAATAATGATAATTATATAGACAGATATAAAGATTATATAAATATACATTGTTATGTACATATCAGAATGAAAAATAATGCTTTTCACAAAATGTTCATTTGTTCAGAATTCAATAAGCTCCACTTACCCTAAATCAGGAGACCTCTATTCATCATTCATCATGGATAAATGGGAGGCAGGGCCCAATTTGATTAATGGTATAGAAAAGCATAAGACTGCTAAACCCAGAACACTTTTTCCTCTATAGGAAATGGTACATGGAGAGAAGACAGATATAAATGCATCTATAATGCTCAAATACCTATCAGCAATAACATGCACAGAATAAAGTAAATCTACAGAAAAACAAACAAAACCAGCAAAACCAAACAAACTGCAAAGCCTGAGTACCTTTTCTTAAGATCATCAGTCTCCTGTCCCATGTAATTGTCAGTTCCTTCATCAAACTGAATCTGATGCACTGGTCTTGTGCTAACTCTAGCTGTGGCAGATTTGGCAACTTTCATATCTGATATTATGTTACTGACACTGAAATAAGAAAAAGGTCAAGTGTATTAGAAACTCTAGCTACAGGACAGTAATAAACTTTCTTACCCATGAAATTCATATCGTTTAATTCATATTTCACCTCCATGTACTAAAACAGCATAAAGCATTATGTTTAAATGAAAGATGATATGTCACATGTTAACATTCAACATTCACATGCCACAGACCACTAAGATTTATGTTTCCTTTTGAAACATAACTTTTGAAGGTGTTCTTCAGAAATGCTCATTTAAAACATAAAAGTGTCACTTATAAAAAAACTGTCACTTATGAAAAAGTATCAAACATTTGAGGTTGTATATCAACCTCAAACCTGGCATAAAGCAATGAGATGAGAGGCTGAGTGAGAAGGTGTCAGCTAAAACATAAGAGCAAAAGTGAAGGAAACAGACCTGAAGATGATCATATTGTACATAAGACCAGCAAATTATTTAACAGGAAGTAATTAATCTTCTCAGAGAAACTTATTCTGTTACTTGTTTTTAGTAACATTACTGAATTTACTGTTTGTTTTTCAGGGACAAGAAATCATGTAACTTTGCAAAAGACAATTTTAACCATTCCATTGATCTTTTAAAAACTGCAATCTTACTTAAGATGTGAATCTTAAAAAAAAATTATTAATATTCCACTTATAATATTTAATATATAAATTGATACATTGTGTACATTACTCACCAGTCACATGAAAACAGCCTATTTTGAAAAACCAGCATTACCGACAGAACTATTTGATTCACTAACCTAATTTTAGCTCTTTCTCCATCTTTCTGTGCATTTGAGACTTCCTCATGCTGCTGGAGCTGCCTAAGCAGCTCTGACTTGGTTGTCTGCTTATCAAAAGGGAGAAAATCTGCAACAGCAGATGCAGCTGCTACCAACTCAGGACTCAGGGACTTGGTTCTAACAAAGAAAATGGAAAACAAGTAAGAAAAAAAAAGGCATTACTTATTATGCCATTAGTTTAATGGAAAGTAAAATGATTCTTTTTCAGAGAAAACTTTTTTGTCATTCAAAAAAAAATCCATTTCTGACAAAATCAATTATTTTTAAATATTAGGCATTTTTTTTAAGTAGGCACCATGCCCAACATGGAGCCCAAAGTGGGGCTCAAACTCACGACCCTGAGACCTGAGCCAAGATAAAGAGTCGCATGCTCAACCCAACCCATTGAGCCACCCAGATGCCTTAGGTACTGGTTTTATACAAACTTTAAAATGTTAAAAGTTGAAGTTAATGGATACTTGTTGAAGCATAATACTAACTCAGAACAATATACTAAAGTAGAGGGGTAAGGAGAAGAAAAAAAAGAGTGGCGGTTATAATTTACTGGATTTTTTAATTAGATGCCAATTTATTTCAGAAACTATATACACTGCAAGCAAATATTAAAGTAGCTAAATGTATTCACATATCATGATAAATTTGTATGATGGAAAGTACTCAGCTCACGCCAATAACATGAATGAAACAATGAAAAGCTGGAAAAAAAAAAGAGTATGCTCTATATAATTCCATTTATACCAACTTCTAGAACAGGCAAAATTAACCTAGGGTGAAAAAACCCCTAATAGTGGTTGCCTCAGGAAAACGCTACTGACGGGAAGATGGAAATGAGAAATGCTCTGTCTTGATAAGCATGTGGGCTACATGGGCATGTCGATTTGCCAAAATCCTACAGCTAAAATGTGTATGCTTCAAAGTATGTAAATTTTACCTGGGAAAAACAAAGAACCATAAATCATCATCATGATCTAGTAGGAGATGGAAAGTAGGTGAAGATA